ATTTCCAACTTTAAGAAAGCAGCAAAAGAAAAAAAAAATTAAATTCAAACTAAGTAAAAAGCAGAAAATTAGAATAGAATATGCAGGCATAAACAAGAAGATAAGCAACAAGCCCAAAAGCCAATTCTTTAAAATATCAATAAATAAGCCTTTTGTCAGATTAAGAAAAAGAAGATACAAATTACTAATATCAAATAAAAGAGGGAGGGAAGGCCAAATAGCTCAGTGGATTAAAGCATCTCCTTAGAGGAGAGGCAGGGAGTTCGATTTTAACCCAACCCAACACCCCCCCCCCCGCATGCTGAGAATTGACTGAGACTGGGTGTGGTGGCGCACACCTGTAATCCCAGGACTTGGGAGGCTACAAACAGGAGGATCACTACAAATCCAATCTACACAGTAAGACCCTGTACACTTTGTCCTAAATATAAGAAAACAAAAAACAAAAACAAATAAAAGAGGGATCATTACTATTGAGCCTACGGACATTGAAAGGATAATAAAGGAATACCTTGGCTCATGAACGCTTTTGTTCGTGAACAATTTCCCTTGCAAACAAAAGCATCTGGCAAAATTTTGTTTTTGTTTGCAAACTCTACATCTGGTGACAAACAACCACAACTACCTCTCCCACAAACATAAGCATGGTCTTCTTTTCCAAAAACAGGGAATAAATTAAATTCATGAACAGAGATACCTAAGTTCTGGGAACAACTTCAATTTTAGAAGTTTGAGAACACAGATTAAATGGACCAATCTTAAAAAAATGTATTTCCCAAAGGTTATAGACAGAATATACTGTCTGAATAGAGTGATGTCTATTAAGGAACTTGATTCAATAATTAATAACTTTGCAAAGCAGGAACCTCAGCTCCAGATGGTGTCTCTCTTTTTTTTTTTCCCAGATGGTGTCTTTTAAGGAAGAACGACTGTCTATAATCTCTTTCAGAAAATAGGAGGAAAGGGAATACCTCCATAATTTATTTATTGAGCTGGTATTATCCTAATCCCACAACAAGGCAAAGCTAGTATAAGAAAAAAATATGAATGCCTCTGTATTAATGATTTCATATTACTGGGACAAAATATCTGAGACCCATAACTTTAGAGTAAAAGAGGCTTATTTTCCCTCAGTTTCAGGGTTTCAGGCCACGGTTGGCTGGCTCCAAGGCAGAAATGGCATGGGGGAAGGGCATGAATCCAGAACGCTCTACATCCTCCAACCAGGCCCAAACTGCTTAGCACATCAGCTATGAACTTACCTACAAATAAGTATAGTGCCCCCAAGATCCAATCACCTTCTGCAAGTCCTACTTGTAAACACACACGGCCTTTGGAGGATGTTCTCAATCTGAGCTGTAATGTTCCACTCCTGGGTACAAAAAGACTCATGCACATCTCTTTATGCAAAATGTATTCAGTCAACCCCTAAGAGCTGCCAAAGTCTTAACAATTTCAGCATTTGCTGAACAGTACAAATCCAAAGTCTCCTGAGACTTTGCTATGAGGTGAAATCTTAGCTATGAGCCCCTATGAAAATCAAAAAGACAAGTAAACACTTCCAGCATACACTGGCACAGAGTGAACAATCACATTCTAAAAGGGAGGAAAATGAGGATACAAAGAAATCAGACCCAAGTAAAAGCTAAATCTCCCTCTCCAACACCTGAGGTAGGGCTGTGGTGAGAGGTAAGCTGCAAAGGGCTTGGGCAGACCTGACCCAAGGTCCCACTAGTTATAGACCAAAAGGGGGGGGGGGGGGAGTCAGTCAGTCAGTTGGTTGGTCGTTCGGTCTCTCTTCCTCCCTCCCTCCCTGCTTCCATCCCTCCCTTTAAGGCAGATTCATCTTCCTGAGGGCCCACTCCATTTTCAGATCTATTCCCAGAGTTTCATATATCATCCTCTCATGTGTATCATGCCTGGCCTTCCAGGACTTTTGATACTGGGTGGAATCCTCTATGACCCCATACTTCTTGCACTCTGCTTTTTTTTTCTTTTTTCTTTTTTTCCATACTAGGGATTGAACTCAGGAACTTGTGCTTGCCAGGTAGGCATTTTTTATACTGCTGAACTATATCCTTGGTCCCATCCTCTTGCACCCGCATGCCTATAAAATATGCACCCACTGGATGACATCAAGGTCTGCCACCAGCTTGACAGTAGCCAGGGTCCCTTGAACCATGGCTGCTTTAGCCTCTAAGTTCCTGGTGGGCTGAGCACAGTGAAATGAATCCCAAGGAACTAATTCTTCAGTTTTTCTATAGCAGGAGGTCCACGGACTCTCTTCTCCAATGCAAGGTTTTTCAGCTATAATGGGTAAGGTCTTGCTGATTCCTGAGATGCCACCAAACCATTTCTTCTACTGTCATAATGCAAAGTACTTGGCTTCCTTTTATTGCAAATCTTTTCATCAGCCATGTTTTCCTATTCTCCAACTCTGCAGGTGCTTTTTTTCTGGTGAGACTGCAAACTTCTTAAATCACTCACTTCTGTTCTTCTCTCCCGATTTTTAGTATAGGTTTATCTAAAAGCTGCCACCAGTACCATGCTGCAGCCTCAACATTGGCCTACCTTGAAATTTCTTCCACCAGGTTAATTAGTTCATTGCCCTTAATCTTAGTCTTCTGCCAAGTTTCAGGACATGCACAAAACATAAATGAACTTTTTTGCCAGAATGTAACACATACTGCCTCTGGTCCAGTTTCTGACAGGGCCCTCAGTCTCAAGAGTCTGGTCTTTATTGTACACATCCCATCTGCATTCTGGTCTTTGGCACTTTGGTCAGTAATGCACATCAGACACTAATCCCAGCACTCTAGGGCTTCTCTAGTCTGAATCTCCAAAGTTTTTCAAAATACTCTCATGACTCAGTTTCAAAGGCTTCTGAAACACATGATCAGGTCTAATGACAGCACCAATTCCACTCCTGGTAACAATGTTCTGTATTTTCATTTCACATAACCCTGAGAGAACATCTCAAACTTGCAACTTAAAAAAAGGAGTGGTTTATTTTTGTTCAACTATCAGTGGATTCAGTCCCTGCTTGTAAAATTGCTTGTACACATCACCAACAGTCTCTAATTCTCAGTCTCCTTTTGTTTTTTTCAGGACCACTAATGCAGGTTTTTACTCTTTATTCCTTGATACATTTTTATTGCTTAGCTTATTGTTTAGTGTAAGCCACACTCCTTAGTATTTTCTATTCAAGTAGTTATTCCAGCTCAGTGTCCACTGCTGCTACTTGATTTCTGTTCTTCTACTTCATACTGAAATACCACAAGACATCTTTGGTATTTTTCTATCTACATTCATGCCTTTGTTCATCTTACCCGGTCTCATAACTTAAACATACATCTTTATGTCAATACTTTTTCAGATACCTTTCTAAAATGTCCAGGCTCAATGTCTAGTAGACATATGAAACTCCAAGGCTCAAAGCCAATCTCCTATGATCCCCTCAAACTTTTCTGACACATTTTTGTTTAGGGACCTTTCTGAAGGAGAAGCTCCATCGTTCTATTGCTCAGATCAAAAAATGAGGACTCATTCTTGTTCCCTCTCCACAATCTGGTCCATCAGTAAATTCAGTGTGGCAGAATAAAGGCAGAACTTTAAGATTTCTTTACCTCCCACAACAATACTACTCTGACCCAATACACATTTATATTACATTTGGATTATTGAGGTAACTTCCTGCCCGGTTTCTCTGCTTGTATCTTTAACTCCCTACAATCTATTGTAAACATAGCAGCAGAAAGATACTTTGAGTGATTTAGATGCCACCCTCCTGTTCAAAATCCTATCATATTGATTTATCTTATTCAATGGAAAAGCCAGTTCTGCTTATCTGTTTTTAACACTCAACACCATTTAAATTTTTTTCTATACTTAGGCACATAAAAATAAACACAAAATGAAGATTCAGAAACTGAGAGAGAGAAACAAACTGATGTCTAAAGTTCATCTTCATATTAGTTCTGATTTGTGAGTAAATTTTAATTAGTCACACTATAAAATGACAGCACAGTATAGTCTTACAAGCCTTTGTCTATTTATTTAATATGATGTTCTTTCTGCACTCCCCACACTTTCTCTGATGAATTTTTAAAAACATAAATACTTTTACTGGTATAAGAAATTCCAAGCCAGGGGTGGTGGCTGAAGGAGTAGGATCACCACAAGTTGAGGCCAACCTGGGCCATACAGGGAGCGCAAGGCTAGACTGAAGTACACAGCAAGACACTGCCTCAAAAAAAAGGAAAGAGAAAAATTACAAAAGCTGGGAAGTACTGCCCAAAAGGATTTAACAAGCATGTATCCATATTAAAATCTTACCAAGCATAGAGAAATGAATTTATGTTGGCTCTTGTGCTAGATCCACATCTCTCTGTATCAATACTGGCTATGTAACACTAAAGTTCTAAGAGTCTCTGTTCTCGATTTCCTATCAAGATAGTACCCACTTCACAGAAGTATGAAAATTAAGCGACATGCACCTATAACATATGGACACTTAATAGCTGCCTATGACTTTAGTTAATGTAAAACCATGTAATGTAACAGGGCCAGGGAGATAGCTCAGTAGAAGAAGCACCTGCATGGCAAGCACAGGGTCCTGAGTTCAATCTCTGGTACTGCAAACAAAACAAAACAAACAAAAACCATGTAACAGTGAGAGAGAGAATAGAATGAAGGTCAGCAGAAGCAGACTACAATAAAGAATTTTATTCACTTACATTGTTTTAAACCTTTTATTATAGTGGTAACAGAAAGCTTTCTGGTTATTTGCATTACTGTTTTTAAATTTGCTGCAGACTATGTACCCTTTTCATGCCTTCATCAAAACACTATAGCAAAACACCATTTCCCACAAACATTCATTCATATTAACTGTCGTATTAGGCATAGTGCATGACAGGAACTCAGAGGACAGGTTTAGATTATGATCGTGTATTATGAAATAAACTGTGATTATTTGGAAAACAAACATATTTACTTGCCTTTCTTGAATTTATGTACAGGGAGTTTCTTAAGTTGATCTTTCCCAAGTCTATTTCTTCTAGCTCTGTGTCTGTCCTGGACAAATTTTGTGATCTAAAAATAAAAGGTATGAGACATTAAACATGCAAATAAAAAATAGCTATCAACAAGTATCTTAAGTTTTTAGATAGCTGCTGTAAACCAATTTAACTTACTTAAATCTTAATCACAATTAGGTTATTAAAACATTAAAAGTGATTACTTAACACATACCATCTTTTGAATTTTTATTTATTGACCTTGATTACCTTTCACTTACTGATATAACTGCTTATAAAATAATAGTAGATTATAGTTACCAAGATTCCAATGGGCCGAAAAGAGTAATAAGTTGAGATTTAAGTTACAAACTAATAAAATTTTCAAACACATCCAATTTATTATACTTTCAATTCTAGCAGCATAACAGAATTAAGGCATTCAACTATATATAAATGTTCATAAATTCTACTATAAATGTTCATAAATGTCAAATAAAATATACAAAACACTTAAAAGTATAAACAGCCAGAGTTGAGAGAATAAAAGGAAAATGTCCATAGACCCCAAAACAAAACCTCGAAACACCATGCATAAAAGAAAAAATAACAAAGTTGACTACATTACAGTTAAGAACTATCTCACACTCACAGGAGGACTGCAAGTTCGAGCTACCTGAGAAATGCAAAGCAAGTAGAAAGAATTTGCCTCAAAAGAGTGGGTGTGGGTAACTTACAGCTTAATATAAATATTCTGGTTTCAAAATCCAGTATTATCATTTTTTTTTTTTAAGGTGTAAGAACTTCTATCCTTAAAAGATACTGTCTGAGGAGCTGGGGAAATAGCTGAGTAGAATAAGCACTTCCCTGGCAAGTGCAAAGGCCTGAATTCAATCCCCGGTTCCGCAAAGAAAAACAAAATAACAAACAAACAACAACAACAAAATATATATATATATATATATATATATATATATATTCCACACAAATATATGAAATTATAAACAAAATCACAAATAGCTTTTATTTTAAAAAGACACTTAATATGTCAAACCACAGATTTATTGTTACATTGTACAGTCAATAAAGGAATTTATATCCAGCATAAAGAAGGCTCAAAACTCAATTTAAAAGGCAAACCTATTAAAGAACTAAAAGATAACTTTATCACAGCAGATAGACAAATGGCAAGCATGTAAAGAGATGCTAAACATCATTAGGCTAGAGGAAAGCACACATTCAAATCATAACTGCCTGCTACATACCTATTAGAATACCTACAAGTAAAAAACTGACTGTATCAAGTGTTCACATGAAAAGGAGAAGAAACTGGAACTTTCATGCTCTACTAAGCAAGACATTAAAATAATACACACACTTTGAAAATCACTTTGACAATTTATTACAAATTTAAAACACAATTTTTGCCACAACCATCCCACTCCTAGATTTCCCGTGGAAAAAAGTACTGCATATGTGCACACAACTTACACATAAACATCTACATCATCTTTATTTGTAATAGCTAAAACCTAGAAACAACACAGCAGAGTGGAGTGCCTCCTGGTTGCCCTCCCCTCCTCTGCCACCCTCGCCCTCATGCTGGTATGGATACTTGTTTTTATTTTTGTAGAGTTGGGAAATGAACCCAGGGCCTAACACTTGCTAAGCAAGTGTTCTGCCAACGAGCTACACCTCCAGACATTGGTCAATTGATTTTTTTATTTTATTTTTTCGGGGTGTGGTGTTTATTGGCAATCAAAATCAAGACCTTGTGCTTACCAGACAGGCACTGTGCCACTAAGCTACATCCCTGGCCTGGATACTTTTTAAAATTCACATTAATAAAAACTTAAGATGCTCAGAAAAAAAATACAAAGCTGTTTGCAATCAAAAGAGCATAGTATTTGGCATAAAAATTATGCATTATACTATGTGAACAAAATAGAGAACTTAGTAGTAAACCTAGGCATTTACAATTCACTGATATTCAACAGTGGTGCTGAGAACATACACTGGACAAAGAGCAGCCTTGTCAACAAAGAGATTTGGGAAAATTGGGCAACTATATGCAGAAAAATGAAGCTCAATCCCTTGCGCACCAGTTACAAAAACCTACTCAAAATGGATTTAAACACTTAAATGTAAGACCTGAAATTATGAAGCTACTTGAAGAAAACATAGACATAATTCTTCAGAAAACTGTAATATGCAAGTATTTTTTTGGACAAGACCCCAAATGCACTGGAAACAAAAGCAAAAATAGACAAATAGAAGCTAACAAATAATGGAAACAATCAACAGAATGTAGAGACAACCCAGGCATGCTGACCTATGCCTGTAGTCCAGCACTTGGGAGGCAGAGGCAGCATTTCTGTGAGTTACAGGCCAGTCTTGACTACATGGCAAGACCTCGTCTCTAAAAAGAAAAATAACAATCTATAGAACAGGAAAAAATATTTACAATGTATACATTTGACAAGGAATTCCAAAAACTTGTCAGAAAAATCCTGATTTTTAAAATAGGAAATATATCTAAATAGATGCTTTTCAAGAGACACACATGTGGCCAGTAAGTACAGGAAAAGTGCTGTGTATCACTAATCATCAAGAATGCCGATCTAAGCCATTCTGATGTATCTATCACCCTATCCCAGTCAGAATGGCCAATATCATAAAGTCTAAAAATAACAAGCACCTTGAAAATGTGAGGAGAGGGGAACCTTGCAAACTGTTGGCAGGAATGCAAATTAGTACAGCCATAGTGGAAAACAGTATGACAGTTCTTCAAAATGTTAAAAATTAAAATACTATATGATCTAGAAGCCCCTACCACTGGGTATACATCCAAAGGAAACAAAGTCAATATACTAAAGAGAAATGTGCATTCTCATGTTTACTGCAGCACTAGTTGTAGTGGTCAAGAAATGGAAACAATCTAAGCGTCCATCAACTGACAAGTGAATAAAGACAACGTGTATATGCCGGGTGGAATGCTGTTCAATCACAACAAAAGAATGAAATGGTGCATCTGTGAGAAGACTGGAAGCAGAGATGATTATGTTAAGTGGAATATGTCAAGCACACACAAAAAACAAGTACTGTGTAATCTCACTCACATGTAGAATCTAAAAAAGTTGTTTCCATGTAAATTGAGAGTAGAAGGGTGGTTACCCACCGATCAAGGACAGAGGGGGTTGGGAAGGAGTGGAGGAAGTTTGATTAGTGGTCTAAGTTACAGATACATGAGAGTAAGCTCTATGGTACTACTTCAGAGTGCAGTGACCAGAGGTAACAATTACATACTGTATACTTCAAATAGCTAGAGAGAGAATTTTGACAATTTTCACACAAAGAATAAATATTTCAGACTATAAATGCTTAACCTGATTCAAA